AGATGTTGACGGGTGTTGAAAGATGTTGACGGGTTCAACTTCTGTTTTGATCTGTTTCTGTAGAGCGGGGTGTGGGTTGGTGTGTGGAGGATGGGGGGTGTAATCTCTGTACCACACATACTGTGGAGGACGGGGAGTGGATTAAATAAAGGAGGGGGGGTAGGGCACCCTCACTGCAGGGGAGGGGCAACTGCTGACGGAGAGAGAGAGATGTAGCTCTGGAGCCATGTAGCATCAGCGAGCTAACAGAGAGAAAGACAGAGAGACACACACACAGAGAGAGGGAGAGACAGAGAGAGAGAAAGACAGAGAGAGAGAGAGACACACACACAGAGATAGAGAGAGACAGAGAGAGACAGGTTTTCAACCTTGTGACCAAACATCGTCAGGCTCAGCAGTTTCTCCACCTTCCTCCTCCATCTTCCTCTTCCATCCTCCTCCTCCATCTTCCTCCTCTTCACTGACGAGAACATCCCCCTCCTCCTCCTCTCAGGATGCTCGGTGAGTTTGTCTTCACGCATCAGTGCCTTTGTCCTCTGATCGTCTGAATAAATGTGCTGCAGTGAATCACTGCTGTGGGGGGCATCTCTTACTTGATTTGCATGATCATACATGCTGCAGCTCTGTGTAAACCTGCACAAAGCTAGTCTGGTATGTTAGCATGTCGCTAGGCTATATACATGTTGTTAGCCAACACGTTTAACTAAACAAGGTTAAGCAGCAGGACACGTGTGTGTGTGTTTTGGACCTCCTGTTGTTTATGATGATTTCATTACTGGAAAAATGTGATTTGGATGTTACAGTCGATCAATCGTTTCTTCTATGTCAGTGTGTTTGTTATGTCTGAGATGTATCTATACATCTGTTTGACCAATCACAGCCTTGTGAGCTCCACCTCTCTGTGAATACTTGGACTCTGGTTTAGTTTCACCTTTTGAAGGTAGAAAGCAGAACTTGGAACCATGACAACACAGTAAGTTTCAGGTTGGAAGGTTCCTGTGGTGGAAAAAGAGCTAAAACATGACAAAGCCGTGACCACGTCTCCCTTCTGTCTTAATGCTGAAGACAACGGTTTGAAGAACAACGAAATCATCAACCTGTGCTTCGATCCCAGTCTTCCCCATCCTGCATGCCCAAGTGTCCTTCGCTAGATACTGAATCTTGAATTGCCCCTGAAAAGTGCTTAGTTTGTGCGAATGGTGTACTGTAAAGTGCTTTGAGTGGTCATCAGAATAGAATAGATCTATATAAATACAGACCATAATTTACCATTTACATGTTCTTAAAATGTTCTGTACACACATCATGACATTCCTGTGGTTCCTGCATACATTTTGCGATGTAGCACTGGTTCGTATCGAAGGTTGAACCCACATTAGAACCTAGTTCGTAAGAAATCAGTTGAGGGATGGCATCTGTGAACACGAGAGTTTGAGTGTGAAGAGACGGACTGAGATTGATACTCAGCAACCTGACGTCAAGAACAACACAACACAACAAAACAAAACAACACAACGCTGCCTGACCCAAGACACTGAAGGAACCAACAGAACAAGTAGCAGAAATGACTCATGAGCATTGGACTCCTGGTTCATGATAAGAAGAACCTTTTAATGTTTTCATTATCACGATGTTCGTCTAAACATGATAATGATGTCAGCTGGTGATGGTCTGACCCTAATTGTGTTCCCCATAATTCACCTGCTCTGTGACGGTTCTTCAGTGTAAAGTCACTCTTTGGAACAAAGATGGCAGCACTTACAAGAGTTCAGAGTCAATCTGCAAACTTTTGAATACCAGTGTTTTCTTACTGGCTCTTTTTGCACAGACATTGCTTTCATACATTCACATTCTACCTTTGTCTCCATAGACAACATACTCCCCTGGGTCTTTTGTTTCCCCGTACCTCGGAGGAGGAAGCATACCAGGACTATGTGCACAACCCAACAGAGAACAACAAACCTCCTCTGCACAGCATCCTGCTCGCTAATGTTCAGTCTCTGGACAACAAGCTGGATGGACTGTGACTGTGCATCACACTGGAGAGTTCTCTTTGTACAGATGCGACAGAAATAAAAGGTCTCAGATAAGTTCAGAGTTGGAGCTGTGTGCTTCATGTTTAGGCAACTTACTGCTCCCTGGTTTTGGAGCTGCTGATCATCAGTTTGATCCTTTTAACTCCCCAAAGAGTTCAGTCTTCCTCACAGAAACATAGAGACTGACAAGGTCCTGCAGGGCTGCTTTGAGAGAACTGACGGACAGATCTTTGAAGATGCAGCTAATGGAAACATCATTGGCTTTCTCATAGCACATTGACCTTGGAAACAAGAGACAGTCTTCAAAAGGGTCATACCCACACAAAGCACTCAGGTCAGAAGGCATCCTGGGTCACCCTCTCAGGGTGTCCATCAATCAACTGGCAGAGGTGTTCACCAACATCTTCAACCTCTCCGTTAGTTGGTCTGTGGTCCCTGACCGCCTCCAAGGCACCATCAAAGTCTTAACCTACTGACACCATGGACTCTTTTCAGTTTGCCTACAGATCGAACAGTGCCACAGATGATGCCATCACCTTCCTGGACAAAGACAATATATATGAGAGAATGTTCTTCATCGATCTCAGCTCAGCAACACCGTCAGTCACTCAGACCTTGTCTTGATGCTCATTGATCTTTGTCTGGATATTTGACTTCTTGGCGGACAGGGCCCAGGTGATGAGAATCAGCTGATGTGTGCTCAGCCCCTCTTGTACTCCCTGTTCACCAATGAATTCTGTCAAGTATATTTCCAGATTCTTTTCAGATTGTTTTATTCTCGCTAAGTCAAAATGGTTCTGTCACATTTTGAGAGGTGATGTGACAAGTTTTTTATATTGTGATATGTGAATATGGGCTGTAGAAATAATATTTGATTGATGGATTTCTGAATAGTTTTTCTTATGAATCTTCTTTTTTCCCCTTCTTGTTTCAGGTGTGTGATGCAGCTACTGCGTTGTGATAGCCAGGAGTCATTGCTAAGCGCTGGCTGTGTGTCGTCTCTGGAGCTCAGGATGGACCAATCAGTGATCATTAAACCTGTTCACTCGTCCCTGCTCGGACAGGACTACTGCTTCGAGGTCAAATACAAATCATACATAGTGCATTAATGACAGCACACTGCTCCTTGTGTTTCTGTGGTGATGACCTCTCACCCTGTGTCTCCTAGGTAACAACCTCGACAGGCACCAAATGTTTCTCATGTCGTTCGGCGGCAGAGCGAGATAAATGGATGGAGAACCTACGACGAGCCGTTCATCCCAACAAAGACAACAGCAGAAGGCTGGAGAACGTTCTGACGCTCTGGGTCATTGAGGCCAAAGACCTGCCCGCCAAGAAAAGGTATGGGGCACCAGGTCCTAAATCTAACGGTATAGAGTGCTACACCGGGAACCAATTAATGTAAGATTCATTACTTCTGCAGTATAGAAACTGTTGTACTTGTCCCACAGGTACTTCTGCGAGCTGTGTCTGGATGACAGTCTGTATGCTCGGACATCATGTAAACTGAAGACGGACAACATCTTCTGGGGTGAACGTTTTGACTTCAGCAATCTGCCGTCTGTCAGCGCCATCACCCTCCACCTTTACAAAGACACAGACAGAAAGAGGAAGAAGGATAAGAGCAGCTATGTCGGTTTGGTCAACATCCCTGTTCCCATGGTGACAAGCAGACAACTAGTGGAGAAGTGGTACTCAGTGAGTACGCCCAGTACAAGTCGAGGTACGTAGGTCCTCTGGACAAAATCTTCTGTCCGAACGTTATGAAACCGACCTGAACCTGAATATCATTTTGAAATTGGACCAAAATTTGAAATGATGTTTGGGTCATGTGGCTGAGGGGTAGAGCTGTCGTCCTGCTAATATATGCACTGTATGAATGTGTGTGTGAACGGCAAACTGTAAGTTACTTTACTGTTAAGTGCTTTGAGTGGTCATCAAGACTAGAAAAGAGCGATATAAATACAAACCATAAACATATATTCACAAAACAACAAACATCCAAGCTCTTATATTATGATCGCAGACAACGGGACCACAGAGTTCACATGGCAATGACCATCTCTCATGTTTCAGGTAAGTCGTCAGTGCCCTCAGTGCGAATCAAAGCTCGTTACCAGAGCATCGTGATCTTGCCAATGGAGCAGTACAAAGAGTTTGCAGAGTACATCAGCTCCAACTACCTGCTGCTGTGCAACACGCTAGAGGCCGCCATCAGTCTGAGAGCTAAGGAGGAGCTTGCTGCTGCACTTGTCCACATCCTGCACAGCACCGGGAAGGCTAAGGTAGCCCCATTCCTATACCTAACTCTCCCCCTCACAGTACTAGTAACCACTGCCACCTCAAAAACCTGAACTTTGACCCCTATATGCAGGACTTCCTCACAGACCTGATGATGTCAGAGGTGGATCGTTGCCGTGACAATGACCAGCTGATCTTCAGAGAGAACACCCTGGCGACAAAAAGCATCGAAGAATACCTGAAGCTGATTGGGCAAAAGTACCTGCAGGATGCCCTCGGTAACCGATGGATCAGTTAAAAAGTTTTTACTTGTTCAGGTGATCAGTTGTTAATCTCAGGTGTTCCTGTGTTCAGGTGAGTTCATCAAAGCTCTCTATGAGTCAGACGAGAACTGTGAGGTCGACCCGTCTCGCTGCTCGACCTCTGACCTCGCAGAGCATCAGGCCAACCTGAGGATGTGCTGCGAGCTCGCCTTCTGTAAGATCCTCGACTCATACAGGTAAGCCTATATACACACACACACACACACACACACACACACACACACACGGCAGTGCCAACACCTCTGTGTATCATTCAATCAGGGTCTTCCCTCGGGAGCTGAAGGAGGTGTTTGCGTCATGGCGACAGGAGTGTGGTAACCGGGGTCGACCTGACATCAGCGAGCGTCTCATCAGCGCCTCGTTGTTCCTGCGCTTCCTTTGTCCCGCTGTGATGTCACCATCGCTGTTCGACCTGATGCAGGAATACCCTGACGAGCGCACAGCAAGAACTTTAACTCTCATCGCCAAAGTCATCCAGAATCTTGCCAACTTCAGCAAGTACGTCAGACTCTCAACTTTTATTTTGAAGTAAAACAGAGGAACTTATGAGTTGAAGTGCAACTGGAGGACTTTTGTTTTGAAATAGATCAGAAGGACTTATTGTGAAACATGAATCACTTGTCTAATGTGATATATGTAGTGCATTACCTATTTGTGTCTTTGTTGCGACAGGTTCGGCACTAAGGAGGAGTACATGCTGTTCATGAACGATTTCGTGGAGCGACAGTGGAGCAGCATGCAGCGTTTCCTGCAGGAGATCTCAAACCCAGATGGACTGAACCACATGGCAGGCTTCGACGGATACATCGACCTCGGCAGGGAGCTGTCAAGTCTGCACACCTTGCTTAACGAGCTCGACCAGGTAACACACTGACCAGGTAACACACTGACTAGATGACAAGATAACACACTGACCAGGTAACACACTGACTAGATGACAAGATAACACACTGACCAGNTAACACACTGACCAGGTAACACACTGACTAGATGACAAGATAACACACTGACCAGGTAACACACTGACTAGATGACAAGATAACACACTGACCAGGTAACACATCTGACCCCAGGTTCCTCTTCAGCTCTGTAGCCAGGCTGACAGAAAGTCACACCTCTACTGACCCATCTATTCCTCTAACTCTGAGAAGCAATGATTTCATGAGCTTCTGTACAAATCAAATTTTAACCGTCAGGGAAACAATCCACCACCTCCTCCCCATGAATAGATCCATTGTCTGGTCCTGAAACCACAGAACCAGATTTATATTTGAACCATTTCTCTTCTATTGACCTTCCTGAACTGACCTCATTAGTTTCATCATCTAAACCAACAACTTGTCTTTTAGACTCTGTCCCAACTGGACTTTTTAAGGAAGTTTCCCCCCTGACTGACAGTTCCATATTAAATCAGATTAATATGTCTTTGTTAACCAGCTACGTACCTCAAGCTTTTAAAGTAGCTGTAATTAAACCTCTGCTTAAAGGTCCAGCATGTAAGATTTAGATGAAAGGGAACTATCCAAATGGTCCAAAATGTTGCAGCAGAGTGCTGACAGGAACTAGAAGGAGAGATCATATTACTCCTGTCTTAGCTCAGGGGTGGGGAATGTCCGGCCTCTGGGCCGTATACGGCCCGCGAGACCATTTCAACCGGCCCGCAACGCAACAAACAAATAGTATGAATAAATAAAAAACTATCAACAGCCATTAATTTCAAGTCAAGAAAAGGAAGGTGGATGCAGAATGCCGCGTATTCCAGGAAAAGTGGACAAATTCTTTTTTCTTTGTTGCGTTGAAAGGCAAGCCAGTGTGCCTAGTTTGTGGCGAGGTGCTGGCAGTGATGAAAAAGGCAAATCTCGAGCGCCATTACACCTCGAATCATGCTAACCTCGGCGAGTTGAGATGACAAATGCGTTTGGATAAAGTTAACGCTCTTCGTCAGAGTTTGGGTGCTCAAAAAGCAGCTTTGTTGAGTCTACGTTAATATTGTTTCTCTACTTTAATATTGTTTTAAGGTCTTGACCTTTAAATGTAAAGTGCCTTGAGATAATGTAAATTATGAATTGGCGCTATATAAATAAAATTGAATTGAATTGAATTGAATTTCACAAGACCACAGACTGACAGAGAGAATATTGCGCGTGCAAGTTTTGTGGTAAGTGAATTAATAACCATGAAGCTGAAGCCTCATGCCGAAGGAGAGTTTGTGAAGGAGTGTCTCGTAGCCGCTGCGGAGCTGCCAGTGGACATCAGACGCCTCGCCAAAGAGAAACAGTTCCAGCCCTCACATAAGGTGAGTCTGACATGCAAAGAAATGCAGCAATCATGAGGCTTAGTAATACAGTGGTTATAGACTTTTTTGCATCCCTAGGTATGTGTTCATAATAGTATGGCCCTTGGAGGACTTTATAAAAATTGAAATGGCCCTTGATATGAAAAAGGTTCCCCACCCCTGACTTATCTTCTCTATATTGGTTCCCTGTAAAATCCAGAATAGCATTAGTATGTAGTGTTGAAGTGTCATGTTGCAGCTGAACACCCCTCACCCCCCCTCTCCTTCCAAACATGAAAAAGAACCTGAAGCAGCTTCAGTCGTCATAAAAACTCAAAAAGTGTTTAGTTTGTTCAGTCTGGACTAATGTAAAAAACATGGCGGCCTCCATAGAGAGGGTCCCCTCCATGTAAATATAAACTATTTAAATATAAAGTATTTAAATATAGAGGGCCTTTTCTGGGGTAAAGAAAACTACAATATCATTTAGATAAAACAAACAAGTGAAAACGTCATGAGGATTATTCTACATTAAATTTCTGCCAATAGATTCTTTTCATCTAAAACTTACACACTGGACCTTTAACAATCAAAACCTTCATATGTCAAAGACCTGATAACACCATATTATCCAGATAGATCAGTTCACTACCAAAACACAGGTTCTTCTGTGGTTCTAGAGTCAGTAAGAGTAGAACAGGAGGTAGAACCTTCAGCAACCAGCTCCCACTCTGGGTTCTAGAGTCAGACACCATCTCTACATTTAAAGTTAAAACGTTCCTTTTTGATAAAGTCTATAGTTCTGGATCAGGTCCTGACCCATCACTTAGTTATGCTGCTATAGGTCTAGACTGCTGGGGGAACTCCCATCATGCACTGAGGGGGAACTCCCATCATGCACTGAGGGGGAACTCCCATCATGCACTGGGCAATTCTCCACTTCTCTCTGCCCCCCCACACTCATTTATTTATCTTAATACATGTCAATGACTATTTCACTTTGTCCTCCCATAGTCTCTCTCTCTCTCTCTTTTTCTCTCTCATTTCTGACCCCTGAACCTCGGGACAAAAACTTTTACCATTATTACTATTATTAATTACAACACTTCAGTAATTAATTGTTATATGAATTGTGCCTGTTATCAATAATAATTTCTTTATAATGTTATTGTTTACATTTCAACTAGTCCGATCTGATACCTGATGGTGCTCAAGTGTTCCCGGTCTCTCTCACCTCTCTCTCTCCCCCTCCCCACTATCACTCTCTCTTCTCTCCCCTCTTTTCCACCCATCTCTCCTCTCCTCCCCTTTTTTCTTTGCTCACCCCAACCGGTCAAGGCACCTGTCTCTCTCTTACCTGTCCCTCTGTCTTTCCATCTGTCTGTCTCTCCACTTGTCTTTTTCTGCACTTCTATCTCTTCACCTCTCTGTCTGTCTCTCTCCACCTGTCTGTCTCCAGGCGTCTCTGTCGAAGCTTGGCCCTCTTCCTCGGATCCTCAGAGATGTGTCGACGGCGCTGGCTAACCCTGGGGTCGTGGTTAATCATGGGGGTGTGTCCTCTCCGGAGCCTCAGCGGGTAGTGTCTCCGCCCTCACTCTCTCCACCCCCTCTGTCTCCACCCCTCTCCCCCCCACTGGCCACCTGTAATCCCTCCATCGGCCTGCAGGGAGGCGTCGGACTGGACGGAGGGTTAGCAACATTTTCCTGTTAGCATTATCATTAAACGGCAGTCTAGCGTTGCTACAGTGACAGAAGGGCTGTGTCAGAAATCTCTCACTGGTCCATTGGTGTACAACCAATGGTCACTAACTGAGCAACATAAACATATGCCGACGAGAGGAGTCTGAAAGTGTTTTTTCTTTTCATGACAAGGGATTCGGACATTCTGTTACATTTACCTGGTTGCTAGCAAACACACACTTCCTGTGCAATAAGTAATCTAATGTGTGTTTGTATCTATTTTCGTCTCTGTGTGTGTGTCTGTGTGTGTAGCTTGGTGGATTTTACCAGACTTCCTTCTCCGACTCCAGAAAACAAAGATTTGTTTTTTGTCACTAAAGGATCAAGTCTTCAGCCTACGTCAGGTGATTTTTGATCTGTGATCTTTAGCAAATCAGCTTCTATGTTTCTAATGTTTCCATGAGTTAGTAACCTCTGATCCTTCCTGTGCTGCTGATGTCACTTCCTGTAGGCCTGCAGGGCTCTCCGGCTCCGAGCTCTTCCTACTCAGAGCCCAATGAGACAGAGGCTGCCTTTGAAATTATCAATGGAGCCAAGAGGGAGGGGCCAGAGCTAACCAATGAGAGCCGCAGTCGGTCTCTGGTCGACCTGCAGGACTCCTCCCCTAGCGATGGCCTAGACGACAACCAATGGCAGCGCAGGACGGGGCTCCTCCCTCTGTCCTTCCAGAACCCAGTGTATCACATGACTACCACGTCTCCACGACAACCACAGCAGCAGACAGACGCCACGCCCTCGGATGGCTCAGTGGGGTCTCAGGGAAACGCAGACGAGAGGATCACCTTGGCGACAAAACCGGCTTTTCTAACCCAGATGTCCGTAGGGCTCGGAGGGGGGGAAAGGACTTCAGCCATGTCGAGTAGCAGCAGTGGAGAAGAATACTCGAGAAGAGCACTGTCACTGACTGACACGCTGACAGGTATCATGATGACGTATAACTTTTAAAATAAACGGTAATAAGATCAAACTAAATTACAATGTAACGTTTATGTACAAATACAGTATGAACTTTATTCAAATCTAATTTTTACATGCTATCACTTTAATTTTAATGTCGTAAATTTCAAAGACTAAATGTATCCCTTTTTTTTTATTTCTCCTCCCCCTCAGGTGGTCCCACCCCCCCTCGTCAGAACTCATCAGGCCCTCAGAGACGTATCGATCAGCCTCCTCCCCCGAACTCTGCCCCGCCAGGACCACCTCGAGGCAGGACACCTCCCAGCATGCTCAGTGGCAGCGGGGGCTCCGCCTACCCCCCTCGCCCTGCCTCCGGCAGCATGATGTCATCGAGCCCAGATTGGCCAAGCAGTGGCCAGACGCGTCTCAGACAGACGTCATCATCGTCTAAAGGAGACAGTCCGGAGAAACAACGTCCTGCTGCCAAGGTAATCAGTCTGTTACTATAGTAACCTTCCGACCCCGGGTCAGTGTCACACCTTATGTGTCACTGATGAATCTGCAGCTAAACATCTGGTTAACTGTTGATCCCCCTGTAATACAAAGTTCAACATATTTACATTTAGGGCATTTAGCAGATGCTTTTCTCCAAAGCGACTTACAATAAGTACATTTGTCACAAGAGAGAAACCACAACATATCAACGTCGATGGGGTAAAACGTAATATAGAAACAATTTTCGAACCCTCATCTGAGGATCGTAACTACTATTTGTGAAAGATTCTTTAAGTGCTTTGATTGAAGTGCTAATCATACGAACATACAAATGCATACATTTTTTTGGGGGGGGGTTTGGAGGGAGTGATGCTTTGCAGGGTCGAGTTGAAGTCTGAACAAATGAGTCTTGAGTCTTTTGCAGAAGATGGAGACCTATTCCGCTGTCCTGACATTGGTCGGGAGTTCGTTCCACCACTGAGGTGCCAAAACAGAGAAGAGTCTCGACTTCGCTGAGTGGGCTTGGTTTGCTCTCAGCGATGGAGGTACCAGTCGACCAGCTGATGTAGATGAGCGAAATGCTCTCGCTGGGTCATGTGGTCTGACCAGTGTTTGGAGGTGGACAGATACAGTTCCATTGACGGCCTTGAAGGCCAGCACCATCGTCTTGAATCGGATGCAGGCCCCAACGGGAAGCCAGTGGAGGTCACGGAGGAGGGGGGGTCACATGGGAGAATTTGGTGCGCTGCAGCGTTCTAGATACACTGCAACGGTTTAGTCGCAGATGCTGGGAGTCCAGCCAAGAGGGAGTTGCAGTATTCCAGGCAGGAGATGACTAGCGCTTGGACCGGGAGTTGCGTTGCGTCTTTTGTGAGGAAAGACTGGATCCTGCAGATGTTGTAGAGAGCAAACCTACAGGATCGGCCACAGCAGTGATGTTGGGGGCGCAGGACAGTCCATCGTCGAGGATTGTGCCCAGGTTCCTTGCCGTCGACGAAGGTGATACCGTGACATCCTCAACAGTGACTGATAGGTCCATGTGAGGGCAGTCTTTCCCAGGGATGAAGAGAAGTTCAGTTTTACTAAGGTCGAGTTTGAGGTGATGCGCAGCTGTCCAGGCGGAGATGTCTGCCAGAGATTCCGAGACGCACGTCGCAACGTAGGTGCTGGAGGAGGATGTGGGATAAGAGAGGAACAGTTGGGTGTCGTCAGCATAATAGTGGTAAGAGAATCCATGCGATGTGATTGCAGAGCCTAGTGATCTAGTGTATGTATGAAAACAGAAGCGGTCCTAATACCAAGCCTTGAGGGACACCAGTTTCCAGAAGGCAGGGACTGGACAAGGAGCTTCCATGTGACCTGGAAGGTGCGATTTGTCAGGTATGATGTGAACCAGGTTAGAGCAGAGTCAGCAATGC